ACTGAGGCTACAATACAGGTTCACCAAAATTGACCAATCGACGATTGGAAAAACGTTACCTGGTCTGATAAGTCTTGATTTCTGCTGCGACATTCGGATGTTAGGGTCAGAATTTGGCATCAAAAACAATGATAGCATGGATTCATCCTGCCTTGAATCAATGGTTCAGACTGGTGGTTGTAGTGTAATGGTGTGCAGGGATATTTTCTTGCCACACTTATGGCCCATCTTCTAATGGCTGCTTCCAGCAGGATAACATTGTTATGTCATGTCATAAAGCACGAATCATCTCAGACTGGTTTCTTGAAAATGACAATGAGTTCACTGTATTCAAATGGCCCCCACAACCACCCGATCTCAATTCACACTATTGGGCCTACTCACACTATGCCATCCGTATCGTGCCCAGGCCCGTTTCCCGGATCGTTTGAGAAGTGTGAGTGCGCTGAATCGGGCTCAAGCACGGTTCCCTTGGCCGGCCCTGGCCCGGTTGGAAGAGGTGTGCCTGAGCCCGGCTCACTTGGGCTTTGGCGCGGTATGCTTGTGTGTGAGTGCAAAACGCGCCAAAGCCCGAAACTGAAAGCGAGACATGACTTTCAAAGGACTGTTTCATGTGGATTTATTAATAATTCTTACTGTTCAGTGAACGCAAACTGCCGTAGTTTATTAAAGACGCAAACCCCTCACTGCACGCGGCTGCGCACCTTCAGCAAACCTCCTCATTCCTGCAGCACGAGAGCTTTATGATTGTTTATGAGCGCCAAAAGTGGCGGATCTGTTCGGCGAAATATCTGACTGCGTGTCCCCGCATCCCTAAGGACTGTTTGGCGAAATATTTGACGGCATATCAAACGACTGAAACGATATAACTAGAGAAATCTCCACTGTGCTGCTGAGTGAGAGCGCTTCTCACTGAACAGCGCAGAAGCGATGACGTAAGCGTGCCGAAGCCCATTTGTGGTGTGAGCGCGGACCGTCGGGGAAGACGGGAGGGGGGACAAGCGTGCTTTGGCCCGGTTCGAGGCAACTGTACCTAGTGTGAGTACAGCCTAAAGCACCTTTGGGATGTGATGGAACAAGAGATTTGCATCATGGATGTGCAGCTGACAAATCTCCAGTAATTGTGTCTCTAAGTTATATTTCCAGTGTCTTGTTGAATCTTTGACACGTAGAAATTAGGTGAAAGGGAGTCCAACCTGGAACTAGCAATAAAGTACCTAATAAAGTGTCCGGTATGTGTAGTTAAATGTTTTTCAGTATAACAACTGAAAAAAAATACTTTTTTAAATACACTTATTTTTCTTGGCTCATTAGCAGATTTCTTTTTTTTTATCTGAGCATAAACTGGAAAATGTTTGGACATTTAAAAAAAAAAACTAGGTCTAATAGCTTGCTTCATTTTGGTTTTCAAGTAAATATATTTTGCAATAATTTTAATGCAATTACATTTTTTTTTTTATTCATTCATTTATTTGCTTTTCGGCTTAGTCTCTTTATTAATCTGGGGTCGCCACAGCGAAATGAACCGCCAAATTATCCAGTATACAGTATGTGGATGCCCTACCAGCTGCAACCCATCTCTGTATAACGTCCATACACACTCATTCACACTCATGCACTACGGACAGTTTAGCCTACCCAATTCACTTATACCGCATGTCTTTGGACTGTGGGGAAAGCCGGAGCACCCAGAGGAAACCCACGGGAACGCAGGGAGAACATGCAAACTCCACCCAGAAACTCCAACTGACCCAGCCGAGACTCGAACCAGCGACCTTTTTGCTGTGAGGCGACAGCACTACCTACTGCGCCATTGCATCACCCCAATGTTTACATATTATGCTGGAAAACAAGACAAACACACTAACTAGTATATAAAGCTATAAAAAAAGCTTAGCTTTAAAATATATGTAAAAGCTAGAAGTTTGAAATGGTTTGAAAAGGACGGATAGACAGATAGCTAACATGACTTAGCATGTTAGCGTTTCACTAGTATGGATAATATGCAATAAAATCATATACATTTTTTGTGTGAATTGTGAGCAAGTTCAAGGTCCTTGCAAGATTTAGAATAGGGAGAGTTTAAGAGATATCTTAGTTACATAAAACCGGCTAAACCTCTGGTGATAAAGCTTTAGTGATTAATTGCAAACTCACAATCATCAGATTACTCTCAGTACCTGAGCAGTGCAAAACCACTTACGAATTCAGCTCTTATCGTTAGTCACTGCGGTGAGTAACAGGCCTTTTGAGCCAAGGTTGTGATGCAGTGTGTTTTGTAGATTATTTTACCGTAATGACATCACGTTAGCTTAAAATGTTTTTTTTTTTTTTTGAATCCACAGACAAAAATCTCTTTTGATGCTTACATGAAAACTGCTTTTTATATACACTCAAAAAAAAACCACACACAAAAAAACAATGTTTGCTGTTTGTACATACTACTTTTTTTAAAATGTGCTGAAACAACACATGTTAGTTTTTTGATGGACAACAATTATTTTATGTCTCAACACACATTGATTGTGTGGAACCCATGATATTTTACAGTATAGACAGTGACGCAGAATATTGCAGTAATCCACAGATTTTTGGTGTATTTGTCCTGCAGCTCGTCCGATGATCCAGATGAGTCTGTCCACACCCTCTATAGTGGCGGGATCCAAAGATCTGAAGATGACAGTTGCCACATGTGTTTCTGCCAACGGGAAGCCAGCCAGTGTGATCACATGGGAAACTGATTTAGATGGAGAATCCAACACCCAGGAGATCAGCAACCCTGACGGGACTGTCACAGTGCGCAGTGATTACTTTGTGGTTCCCAGTCGAGAAATACACCAACAGCTGCTCACCTGCATCTCCACGTATAATGAAGAACAGTACACAGACAGCGTCACGCTCAACATTCAGTGTAAGAAACCTCGCAATACACTACTGCTCAAATGTTTTTGGTTAGTAAGAAAGAAAAAAATGATTATTAACCCTTTAAGGTGCACACCTTAAAAAAACAAAAAGCAATTAAAATAATAATGATAGCTTATGGATAAAAGGTCAACCAGGTGGTTTGGATGCCTGTTAAAAGCAAATTTCTTTCATTTCTTTCAAAATTGTCCAAGTAAAGGAATAGTTCACCCAAAAATGAAAATTCTGTTAACATTTTCTCACCCTTCACTTGTTCCAAACCTGTTTGACTTTTCTTTTTCTTCTGTTGAACACAAAGAAGGTATTTTGAAGAATGTCGGAAACCTTTGATCATTGAATTTCATAGTTCTTTTATTTCCACTGTGGATGTCAATGGTTACAGGTTTTCACCTTTCTTCAAATTATCTTCTTTTGTGTTCAAGAGAAGAAAGATACTCATAAATGTTTGGAACCAACTGAGTGAGAGTAAACAGTGAGTAAATTTTCACTTTTGGGTCAAATATTTCTTTAATTATCATTCATTTAAATTAAAGTCAGAAACACCAAACAAAAAACAGTGCATATCTAATTGAATTGATCAGAACCTGACAGACAAGTTTTCAAAAAAGGTTTCAAAATTGAATCTAAAGGTAAAGTTCTCCCAAAAATGAACATTTACTCCCCCTCATGTGGTTTTAAACAACAAAAGAAGATATTTTGAAAAATATTGGTTGATGTTACCCATTGATTTCCATAGTACTGTAGAAAAGAATTTGCTGTGTGGAAGTCAATGGGTACCATTATCCAGCATTCTTCAAATTGAACTTATTTTGTGTTCAAAAGAAGAGGCCAAATAGGTTTTGAACAAGTGAAGGGTGAGTAAATGCTGGCACATATTTCATTTTTGGGTGAATATTTTTTTTTTGTATTATATTAAATAATTTTAATTAAAGGTTTGTACACTTTTTTTTTTTATTATTTTATTTGACTTTTATGGCAGATTACAGTAAAAAAAAGACAAAATAAAAAATATATATTTCAAAAACTAATCCGGACTGAACACCGGATTAGAATGAATGGAAGATTTTGGAGATATGTTTTGCAAACCAAAATGATGTCTAATTTTTTTTCAAATTTTAAGTGTGGATCTTACTAGCAATTGTTTTGTTAATTTGTCATAAAGGAAGGAAAGAGGAGCATAAACGAAGGCTGCTAGGGCAAGCATGAGACTACATTGATTATATATGGAGTTTTTAGAAAACAGAAATATTATATTTATGGGATAAATGTATGCTCTATTTTACTTCTTGTTTACAGACGAACCAGAGGTGATCATTGAGGGCTTTGACGGAAACTGGTATTTGAACAGAGAAAACGTTCAGCTGACCTGCTTGGCTGATGCCAATCCAACAATCTCTTTGTATCAGTGGAGATAGTACGTCCCTTTGGTCTACATAAATACTCATTTGAACACTGTACTCTTTTATTTATCATTCAAACTATGCTACATTTAAACTACATTAATGAAGATATCAAAATATACAGTCTCATTGAAATCAATGTGATATGAAATGCACATTCCTCTTTTTTTATTTAGATTATTTTGCATAAATGTCCATACAGATAAAACAACATTAAGGATTCAAATGTATTTTGAGAATAGGTGTTTAACTATCATAATATAATAATAACTTTAAATAACATTCAATCAAGGTAATATTTAATAATACAAATTTGTCGCTTTTTAATTGATAATTCAGCTGTGTGTTTATTCCTTAGCCTATACTGTGGTAACTTACATCTGCTAATCTGTGAATGCAAAGTTTATATTTTTCTTAAAGTTGTTCATGTTGATTATTTTAACATTTATTCCAGGACCATGTCTTGCCTATTGATCAAATGTATTACTGTAAAGATTAATTCAGGGTCAAGTCAAAATGATTTCTCTAGCAATTCTCTGACACAAACTGTAGCTGTAATTCCAGAACAGTCCGTTTAATACAGTGCATCCAGAAAGTATTCATAGCGTTTCACTTTTTCCAAATTTTTTATGTTACAGCCTAATTTCAAAATGGATTAAATTCATTTATTTCCTCAAAATTCTATACACAACAACCCATAATGAATATGTGAAATATTTTTATGTAAACTGTTGCACATTTATTAAAAATAAAAAATCTGAAAAATCACATGTACATAAGTAAATACAACCTTTGCTCAATACTCTGTTGATGCACTTTTTTGGCAGCAATTACAGCCTCAAGTCTTTTTGAATATGATGCCACAAGCTTGGCAAACCTGTCTTTGTGAATTTTTGCCCATTTTTCTTTTTTGTACCTCTAAAGCTCTATCAGTTTGGATGGTAAGCGATGGTGCACAGCCATTTTCAGGTCTCTTTAGAGATGTTCAATAGGATTTAGAACTGGGCTCTGGCTAGGCCACTCAAAGACATTTACAGAGTTGTTATGAAGCCACTCCAATGATATTTTGGCGGTGTGCTTTGGGTCATTGTCCTGTTCGAAGATGAACCTTCGCCCCAGTCTGAGGTCAAGAGCACTTAGCATGTCTCTGTACTTTGCTGAATTTATCTTTCCCTCTATCCTGACTATTCTTCCAGTTCCTGCTGCTGAAAAACATCCCCACAGCACTATACTGCCACCACCATGTTTCACTGTAGGGATGGTATTAGCCTGGTGATGAGCGGTGCCTGGTTTTTACCAAAAGTAACGCCTAGCATTCACTTTAAAGAGTTAAAGTTTAGTCTCATCAGACCAGAGAATTTAGTTTCTTATGGTCTGAGAGTCCTTCAGATGCCTTTTGGCAAATTCCAGGCAGGGAGTGGCTTCCATCTGGCCACTCTACTGTAGCGGTATTTGGCTAATAAAGTGGGTTGGGCGCCAGGGGTTGAAAGACCCCACTACAGTTTCTTAAATAATTCAATTAAATGAAAATTTAAGTTTCAACAGATGCATGATTTATTAAAAACCAAATCAGATATTCAATCATCCAACAGCTCACTGAATTAATAAAGAAAAAAACAAAAGAACAAACTTTAACTTCAACACATTGTAAGTAAATCTATAAACCAAACAAACTTAAATTTCCAGGCCCAGGCACAATACCTATTAATTACCTTTTACAAACAAAACCATCAACGGGTGATACATCAACCAACCATAAAGAAATAAATCAAATAAACCACTTATAAATATTCAACAACCAATATTAATCAAATTCCCACAAACATAATATTTCAAATTCAAATCAAATCAATCACACATTCAAGAACTTATAGAACTCAGTTGTACACTTTACACATAGTAGATATTCCATTTGTGCACGCTGAATCAATTGCACATTCAATGCACCTGAAATGTCTCAGTTCGTATACGCTAAAGTAGATTTTCCATTTGTGCACGCTGAAGTAATCAGGTAATTAATGCACTCTGAAATGTCTCTCAGTTCGTATATGCTAAAGTAGATTTTCCATTTGTGCACGCTGAAGTAATCGGGTAATTAATGCACTCTGAAATGTCTCTCAATTCGTATACGTTAAAGTAGATTTTCCATTTGTGCACGTTGAAGCAATCGTGAACGCAATGCACATTCATATGGTTACTCTACCATCTCAATTTAATCTTTTGGACATACATACACATTTACAAGTTAAACAAAACCATATAAATCAAAAAAGTAACATTTGCTTACCCGATCACCCGTCGATGCTACTGGGCCCAGAAAACTGCAACACAAATTCCGATCACGATATTGATCAAACATTAAAACAAAAGGAAAGAAAAAACCCAAAACAAATAGGCAACTCGAGCGCCAAAAAACAAAAATAAACCCGCGCCTCACTCCACAAACAAACCCGAGCGCATAATACGTTCACCATGCATCGCAAATACAACCTCCGCCAAAATCATAAACTCTTCCATTCATAAATGTTGCCGCTTCAACGTCCGCATCAAAACATACTCACACTTTCGATGCCGTGACTAACTTTAAAGAACACTGCCACTACCTCAGAGCAAGACCACGCAGCACGAAAACACATATTGAGCTACAAAAACGGACTCGAAGCAACAAGCACGCAGCGCGCTCTCTACACACACACACACACTCAGTCAGCATGACCTCTCAGTGACCTGGAATCACCTGCATGCTGACTGCGTGACAAGGAATGAATGAGAGAGAGTGAGAAACCCTTCCAAGGCGCTCTAAATAACGTTGCATCAGCTGACAGCAGTAACCCAATCAGACGTCACTCATATAATAATAAGGAAAATTCTAATGACGATCGTCACACTACCATAAAGGCCTAATTTGTGGGTTGCTGCACAGATGGTTGTCCTACTGTAAGTTTTAGCTCTCTCCACAGAAGAACAGTGGAGCTCAGACAGAGTGACCATCGGGTTATTGATCACCTCCCTGACTAAGGCCCTTCTTCCCCGATCACTTAGCTTAGATGGCCTGCCAGCTCTAGGAAGAGTCCTGGTGGTTTCAAAAACCTTCCACTTATGGATGATGGAGGCCACTGTGCTCATTGGAACTTTCAGAGTAGCAGAAATTTTACTGTAACCTTTCCCAGCCTTGTAGCTCGAGACAATCCTGTCTCGGAGGTCGACAGGCAATTCCTTTGTCTTCATGCTTGGTTTGTGCTTTGACATGTAACCCTGGGACCTTATATAGACAGGTGTATGCCTTTTAAAATCATGTCCAATCAACTGAATTTACCACGGGTGAACTCCAATTAAGCTGCTGAAACATCTCAAGAATGATCAGTGGAAACAGAATGTACCTAAACTCAGATTAGAGCTTCACGGAAAAGGTTGAGAATACTGATGCGCATGTGATTTTTAAGCTTTTTTATTTTTAATAATTTTGCACCAATTTAAGAAACTATTTTTTCACATTGTCATTATGGAGGATTGTGTATAGAATTTTGAGGAAATAAATTTTTTTGTCCATTTTGGAATAAGGCTGTAACATAAAAAATGTGTAAAAAGTAAAGCGCTATGAATACTTTCAGGATGCACTATATTGAATCATTTTGGTCTTCTCTTAGTTGTACTTAGCATCATTAAAAACCTCAACCAGAACCTGATGTTCATTTCTCCCTTTCAGCTTGAATGGAACATTGCCAAGTTCAGCAGAACTTCGAGATGATGTGCTGATCTTCAAAGGTCCAGTAACTTATGACATTGCAGGCACATATGTCTGTGACGCCACCAACAGCATTGGCTCAGGCTCTGCATCTGTTGAGGTCATAGTGACAGGTAAGTTAATTACACAATATGCATGTGGTTTAACTGCTTTTGTGCATGTGAAGATGCATGACTATCTTTGCTCTCAACTGCCTCTGAAACATCTCTTAATAAGCATTATCACGCCATTGTTTTGCCAATAAACAATGGGAACGCTTGCTGCCTGAAGCTATATTCATTTCTTTGGCTCGGAGGTTTGGTTTCGGTTAGCGCTTTGCATGTGGCTGCAAGTTGACTCTGCATGTGGCTCTTGAATGAACCTTGCTCTTTGAGGATATCTTGAATTATATGTTCTTTTTGCATGCTGTTTGCATAAGGTGTGGTCTATAGAAACTGCATGTTTACATTTACTTGTGTGTTTATGTGGCGTACGGTATGTGTGTTCCTTCTGGCCTGCTTCATGGTTTGGTCTCTTTGGTGTAGTGACGGCACCTGGGATTAAATTCTATGTGGATTGTACAAAGAAAGAAGAAGAAAAGTCTTCCCAATCCCTTCTCCCTTTTTTCTTTGTTAAAGACCTTGTGTAGTCAAAATTGAGCTTTTAAGGCTCTTTAGTCTGTGTATTATATCAAAATGTATGCATTTCAATTTAAAACCCCTGAAAACATGTATTATGGTTCTGACAAAAATATTAAAGGTGCAGTAGATGATTGTCCTAATAAACATTTTTTGTTGTTGTTGTTGAAAGTCTCTTCACATTCCAATAGTAATGATTAAAGTAAATGATCTAAACGTATTTATGTATTTTTACATTCTGGGAAGGGCATAAAACTAAAAAATGTTCATCCAATTAAAATTTGTCAGGCCGACAATTCCTATTTTTTTTTTTTATAAGTAGCCCAAACTGTCAACAAATGTGCACAGCTGTTCGCGCAGATCCGCCATTTGCGCATACACGTGTGCCACACTCACCTGCACACAAGAGAGTGACAGTGGTAAAAACAATCCTAAATCAGGTGACGCAGTGGCGCAATAGTTAGCAATAAGGTCGTTGGTTCGAGCCTCAGCTGGGTCAGTAGGCATTTCTGTGTGGAGTTTGCATGTTCTCCCTGCGTTTGCGTGTGTTTCCTCCGGGTGCTCCAGTTTCCCCCACAAATCCAAAGACATGTGGTACAGGTGAATTGGCAAAGCTAAATTATCTATAGTATATGTGTGTGAATGAGTGTGTATGGAGGTTTCCCAGTGATGGGTTGCAGCTGGAAGGGCATTCGCTGCGTAAAAAAAAGACCCCAGACTAATAAAGGGACTAAGACGAGAAGAAAATGAATGAAAAATCCTGAATCAATATTGGAGTTACTTTTGTTTGCTGGAGGAAGGATGACACCATGGCTGAAGTATTTCTTTTGGACAGGTAATGTTTTAATGTTTTAAAACTGTTTTAGTCATGCAAAGCTTGTGTAGATTATTTTGTTACGAATGGGTTATATGCACGGAAGTGTTGTTTAGCCACTGAAATCCTCCGGCGAAAGATTGATGTGACTATTTTTAATTTCATAAGGCCAGTTTTACACAGGGTGTCTGCAGGGTTTTAAAAAGTATTAAAAGTTGATAAATAAATTATGAGAAAATTAAGTCCCTTAAAAGGTATTGAATAGTCTTTATCGCGTTTCTACGAGGACTTAAATTTTGTTCAAGCGGTGTCCAGAGTGTTTGACTTCAAAAAAGATTAAATATATTTATTTTCCTATTTCATAAATTTTTTTACACAATAAGTTTGGGCCGGGGCGCGTCCGGCCAGGCTCCTCCTTCCGGGTGATGTCAGGTTATTTGCGACAAAGCTGGAAGGTGATGTGACGCTCTCCGCATGTAGTAAAACAGAAGGCAAAATGGAAAAATGTAAGCTTGTGTACTCCTGGTTGGAGAAAGACAAATTTAAACAGTGGCTGAAGCCTGTTGCTGAAAACAACTGCTTAATTTATTCTTTCAAGCTTTGTCTCTTCTAAACTTCTGAGCTGAGTTCTGTTGCATGGTTGTGCTCCATTGATTTATTTAACTACAACTAGTTTTTGACAACTGTTTATTAAGTTAAACGTCTGATACTGATTAGAACTTGAAGTGGTGATGACGTCTTAAAATATTCAGAGGTCTTTAAAAAGTCTTTAAAAGGTATTGAAATTACCTTTAGGATTCCTGCATATGTCCTGTTACAGCATCGATAATGTAGATTTTTATTTAGTTTAACAACAAAACATAAGTAAATAGTGCTATTTCAACTGGCCTGCTTTACTAAGGTGAAGTTGGTTTTATTTATACATTACATTGGTTCTTTTTTGAACAATGACAACCTGTGATGCGCTATATTGTTTACCGTGCTACTTTGAATATTCTGTCTAAAATAGTACGTAAGTATGGCTTAGTAATAAGTGTAATTCCTGCACGTTGCTGGCCAAGTACTAAGCATACAATAGTCGCTTTAGGACAAGACTTGAGAGAGAGTGAGACCAGCGATCCTTGCATGCATGAAATATTGCACATTATGAAAAGTTTAGCTACACAAATGAAAATGTGCTTTAGAATTGTAGTATTATAAAATACTGTAAAGTTTTCTAACTAGCGAATGACATGATTTGGATTGTTTACTGTCATCTTTACGGTGCGCGTTCATGATTTCAAGAGGCATGGCATTGTACGGCAGAGGAGGGACTGTATTTCAAAGATATTATGTTAATGGATCGCATTTAGGCAGATCATCTACTGCATCTTTAAGTAACATAATCATATTCAACACTAATAATAATAAAACATATTCTTGAGCACTAAATAGTCATATCAGAATGATTTCTGAAGGATCAGTACTCAATCATACTGACATTTTAGCTTTAAATCAGTGGCATCAGTTACATTTAAAAGTATATTAAAATGGAAAACACTTACTTTGAACAGTCACAATATTTGACAATAGTATCCTCTCACTGTGTAATTGGTCAAATAAATGCAGCCTCAAAGAACAAAAATTTTTTTTAAACAAAACCATAAAAAATTACTATTCTCAAAGCTTTTAGTGAAAGTGTATTAGAAAATGGGCTGATTAATGTCAAGGTCAATCCTTTTAATATCATCTAAGACCCCATTTCCTGTTTTAACAGGAAATTCATCAACAACAAACAGAAAACTGCACACAATGTCTTTAACAAACCCCCTTTGTTGTATTTAAGAGAGGTCACCACCTCTCTCTCCGACACTCTCTTTAGCACCATCTCTTTTCTTACCCAGAATTCCCTAGCTACCCGCACGAGGTGTTTCAGGATCAGCAGCAAGCCGGTGTCGTCATTGGTGGAGCTGTTGTTTGTGGCACAGTGCTGTTGGCTGCCGTTACGCTCCTCGTAGTGTTTTTGTATCGCCGGAGATGCATGTTTAAAGGAGATTACAGTACCAAGAAGCAAATCCTTGGAAATGGCTACAGCAAGGCTGGCAATGTGCCGTCGCACCCTTCATTACCTCACAGCCTGACCTTCTCCGATGACTCGGATGAAGAGAAAAAGCTGGAACTCTACAGGGGCTCCAGTATCTTAGGAGGGAGTGTTCAGGAGTTTCACACATGCCATGACAGCAGGATCAAGGCCTATCGAACAGGACTGATTGAGGAGCATGAGAGATGTGCGTTTAATGAGCAGACTTACATATATGAGTACGGATCTGAGGTGGAGGTCTCTGTGGACATGATTCCTCAGATGGACGGCTCTGTGATCTCTAAAGAAGAGTGGTATGTGTAGAAGTCCAGACTCTAAAAGATCTCAGCATGGCCCTCTTCCGCTACCTGCTCGCTTCTTGGCATCTCCTTCGTTAAGACACTGATTTTGGGATCCAAACTGCTTAGATTTAATTGACTGAGAGAACATTGCTAATATAAAAATCCAAAATAATGATGTTTGTGTGGAGGTTCACCAATAATTAACCATGTTGATGAATTTGCATCACAATTTCTCTCTTTAAGAGCCAAATGAGTTGTTAATGACAGCCTAACATAGAAATAGACCAACCTATAATAATGTGCAGGAAGTGGAAAAATGGATCTCAGATGGTGGACAGGAGTAATGCTTGTTTTTTATTATGCATTTATAAGTTATTATGCTGAAAATAGATGATGTAAATATTTAAATGTAATGACAAATTAATTATGATTACAACAAATATTTGTGTAGCCTATTTACACAGACACATGACAACTACTGAAATTAGTTGTCAATTGTGTTATTCAAAGTAAAGTAACATGTTATAGACAGTATTTCCCCATGCCTGCTAAAAAAAACAGCATAAACCACCATTAGCTTGTTAGCTGGATTTAGCTGGTCGACCAGCCTGGTTTTGAAAGCATTTTGGCCATTTCCAGGCTGGTTTCAGCTATATCCAGCCTAGTCTTAGCTGGTCAGGCTGGGAAATGACTAGCTAAAACGAGCTTGACCAGCTTAGCCAGACTGGGAGCCCAGCCAAAACCAGTTATGTCTAGCTTAAATCAGGCAGGTCAAGCTGGTTTTAGCTAGTCATTTTCCAGCCTGACTAGCAAATTTGGAAATGACCAAAATCCCTCTAAAACCAGGCTGATCAACCAACAGCCTAGGCTGTTTTAAGCTGTTTTTTTTTTTCAGAAGGGATGTGCTGTAGGTGCCCCCAATGTGGTAATTTTTTTCATTTAAAATCATAAGGTGAAATGTACTGTTACCTTAGCAACATGCTAATTTCACAAAATTCTGTCTGTCTCTCAATTCAGCACATTTCATGATGATTAGGGTGAAAAGAAAACACAAAATTTTGTAACATTGCTGTTAACTTAGCTACATGCTAACTGTTACCTCTGTTTTGCTGTCCAGGGTGTCCACTGTTTTGCTATCCTTATTGGGTTGTCCCAAATTGGCAACAATAGTCATTACAAGGTTTTCTAAAAGTGCTGTTAGCGTAGCAACATGTTAATTTTCAAACTGTATTGAAATCACTTCTCCATCCTTATATAGTAGCCACAAGTAGCTCACTTTTGTAACTGGATTCTCCTATTTGTAGAGTTTTGTGACATAAATGACATGAGTTTTGTCATATGATGCTCTCCCACATCAGTCACTTTAAGATTATGTTGTTAAATCACAAGGTTTTGTACCTGTACTGCTAGCTCGTCATGCTAAATGCTGATTCTACTGAAGTTGTTTGAGAAATGAATTCTCCTGTGAGGATTGACTGCCATTTATATACATGATACACGTAAGGTTTACAAATCTTCTTATGTCACTTTTCACAATGACTATGTTCAGCTGCTATGTGTTGTAACAATGTGGTTAACTTAACTTCAAATACTTTCAAAATCAGTTGTGAGTTTCATTCTACTATGCTATTTATCAGTGGTGTAGTCCTTGCTATACGCACGTATACTCAGCATGTCTACTTTTTTCCACGAGCTGTTTGGGTGTTACGACTTCTGAGGATTGTACCCTCGGTATTCTCACTTGTTTTGGTGGTTAGACTTCCCTAAATTTTGTGTATTGAGTTTGAGTATTTGAGTTTTTCGAAGATCACAACAAATCAGCTGAATGATGTCTCGCTGGAAATGTTCAAGTAAAATTATAAAACAGCATGGGCATGGCTTTAGCCCTCCTATATTTCCATTCAACCACTTTAAAACTTTTTCGATTACCAGTATGAACTGTACACTAACTAAATGACCGCCTCAGTCCCCTTTAAATTTGATATAAAAACGGTGGCAAAATCACGCTCCTAAACTCGTTTTTCTGTTAGTCAGCAAACCACAGCTGTGCAGACCGTGAGCACAAGGTGTGTTTATCAATAGATTGTTAGAATATTGCATATTTTTACTATAGAAACACGTGTTTCCTTGTTTGATATAAATATCAAATAAAACAAAGACACATTGAATTACGTCGTTTCTTTGCCTATTTTAAAATTTGGATTGGGTGAGTAATAGTACACCACCTTTTTATTTTAGGACTACACCACTGCTATTTATGCCACAAACAGAACTACTATTCATCTTGGTGTACCTAATCGGTAAAATTTCATGTCATTTAACATGTTAAAAAACATGATTTGTATAGTTCTGTTAGCTTAGCAACATGTTAAAATCAAATGCTATTGAAAACAATTGCATGCTGTTTATGTACTCAGCAGAGTGTTATTTATATGCCGGAAATTTAATGTGTTCTACTGTAAATTACATATTTTCTGTGACATTTAATTCTGACTCACTAGGTTTGGTAACAGAGCTAATGCACTGGACATTTGTCAGGCTGGTCTTTTTAGATGGATGTCAAGTTTAGAAGAAAAAACATGTCTTGACAGGGCCGTTGTATTGACAAAGCAGTTTCGCCTCTGGATAGTGTTTACTCAAGAGCAATTAAAACTGTACTATAACCTATTATATTAACTGTAAAGGTCTTACACTGTGGATATAATTTTGTGCATGATTCATGGAAAAGTTGCCTTGTTTTGTCAAGATTTTTTGTTCTGATTTGTGGAAAAATGAGTTCCTAGCTGCTGTAATCACAGGTTTCATAATACAATAACTATACTTCCCTGCAATGTAATGTCATATACAGTACAGTACCACCTATAAATATGAACTCAGAGAAAAGCATTAAGCAAACTGACTATAGCAGCTTTCAGTCACAGATTTATTGCATGTCTCAGTGGCTTTAATCTAGTATCTTGCTTAAGAAGATTAAATGAAGTTATGTGGAAATAAATCAGAAAATACTGTACTATTCAAGTGCTTTGAATCACTATTTAAATTATTACTTCACTTCGTTTGTCTTTTGGCAACCCAGTGGCTCAGTGGTTAGCACTGTCACCTCACAGCAAGAATGTTGCTGGTTCGAGTCCCGGCTGGGTCAGTTGGCATTTTTGTGTGGAGTTTGCATGTTCTCGTGTTCATGTGGGTTTCCTCTGGGTGCTCCGGTTTTCCCGCAGTCCAAAGACATGCGCTATAAGTGAATTGAATAAACTAAACTGGCCATAGTGTGTGAATGAGTGTGTATGGGTGTTTCCCAGTACTGGGGCTGCAGCTGGAAGGGCATCCGCTGTGTAAAACATGCTGGATAAGTTGGTGGTTCATTCCACTGTGGTGACCCCTAATGAATAAAGGGACCAAGCCGAAGGGAAATGAATGAATGATTTAATGTTTGTGTTTTGCAGCTGCTTCCACTGATGATTCATAATATAATGTGCTATAAAATATTTAATACATGTGTCTCATGCTAATTGGGATGGATTTCATTTGTAAAATTCTTCAAGAGACTACTGGAGACCTTATTTTCACAGTAATGATAGCAGTTGCCATCAAATGTGCTTTATTGTGCAATACAGTTGCTTAATTTATTCAGGAAATGTGTTAAACCTTATGTTGAGAGGAGCATATTTTGATTTACAGTATTTGTTTTTGCTGTTGTTATTTGTAATTGCTGTGAAAGCACAAATGTTAACAAGTTATGTGAATTTTCTGCTGTAAAAAATAAAAATGTACCAAGCCAGTCAAAAAAAAGCATTTTAAAGACTTCTCTGTTTAATTACGAGTAGTATTTTGCTTCTGATCAGAATCAGTAAATGAATGAGCTCCATTTTTCCAAGCAAAGCCATTGAGGAGGTATGTGCGGGGTCATCCGGTCTGCTCGTTCTCTGCGGTGTGGGTCACTTATTTGAGGTGGACCATTGTCTGTTTCGATCAGCCATTAACATCTCTTTTAAGGCCATTAAAGCACCCCACAACAAATCCCCCTTTTACTAGTTGGCATTGACATCATTGTTGTTTTATGTACACAGTGAGCGAAGGGAAATCTCCCATGAATACCTTCCATGGCAGCGGCGTTTGTTGGTATGAGCTCGCACAAAAGAAGGGCATGTACGCTAATGTGAGCCGGATGTGTAGGTTTTTCTCATCAACACAAAACAATAGGACTCGGCCTGTACAATAGAGCTATTCTTGTTATTGTTAGACATGTTTCAGAGGCATGTTTGTTGGGTTTGATTGTTTGAAGAGAAATGAAAATTTGCTGTTCATCTACTCTTTCTGAGGTGACTTGCATTGTTCAGTAGGGCATTAAAGTAAATGATATATGTTGATGAGTGATTTATGTCTGTGTATTTACACATATAGGCCATTTTGAGGGATGTAAACAAAAACAATGGTTATATTTTTAATTTCTATAGCTTCTGAGAATCCAAAAAGAGCCACATGTTGATAAATAATGGTATGATAACTGTTTTAACAGTAAGTTATGATTGAATAGCCTCTTGTTACAGTTATGAAATAGTTAGAGACACATCACAGGACATGCAATGTTAAGATGGGTTTATAGTTAATCAACAATTAAGAATACATGACATTTGTGAAGTCATTGCAAAGTATAAACATAACAGAGTGAAACTTAATCATTTGCATGTGTTATAAAGGCTTTTCAAGAGAGTTTAAAGCATCCAGTCACAATAAGGTACATCATTTGTGATTTTAATAACTTTACTTAATTATTAAAACAATGAAGACTATACAGTATTATTTTACATTTCATTATTCAATTTCTGTACCTGAATACTGTTTGACTCTCTGGGAAAACCGTAAAGTGTTGTTTATTGTGACTTTTTTCTGTTTTATTGTAATTATTCTTGGAGTTTGTATGTTTCTAATACATGATTCACACCCTTACAAAATCAATGCAACAATCTATATAAATTAATGTTTTTTTTTTTTTCGAATAGAGCTATTCAAGCCAAAAAATAAAATTGTATTCATATCGCAATATATATAATAGAAAAATAAAATATTGCAATGTCCGATTTCCAATATTGAGCAGCCCTAGCTGTTAGCAATATGCTAACAACTTAAATAAGTTTTGAATTGTGCTATTCAAAGTGGAGTGATATTTGTTAGTATTTCCCCGTGTAGGTACCCACAAACTGACCATTTATTTCATTTAAAATCACAAGGTTAAATGCCGTTAGCTTAGCAACATGTTAATTAAAAAAAAGTCTGTCTCAAATCAGCACTTTTCATGATGATTAGGGTGTAAAAAAACTATGTTTTGTACCATTGTTGTTAACTTAGCTACATGCTAACTGTTAGCACTGTTTTCCTGTCCAGAGTGGTATTTCCATGCTGAAAAAAACAGCATATGCTGGTAAGGTATGTTTTGATGCTGGTCTTGCTGGTCTCAATGCTGGTTTTGCTGGTCTCAATGCTGGTTTTACTGTTCTTAATGCTGGTCTTGCTGGTCTAAGTTCTGCTCCTGACTAGCATTGAGACCAGCAAGACCAACATTGAAACCAGCAAAACCAGCAGGACCAGCATTGAGACCAGCAAAATCAGCATTGAAACCAGCAAAACCAGCATTGAAACAAGCTTAACAGCATCAAAACATACCTTACCAGCATATGCTGTTTTTTTTAGCAGGGTTATGAAATAATAGAGCTTGTTATTGTTAGACATGTTTCAGAGGGATGTTGGGTTTGATTGTTTACAATGAAATGAAAATTTACTGTTCATCTACTCTGTCTGGGGTGACTTGTAGAGCATTAAAGTGAATGATATATGTTGATATACAGATATATATATATATATATATATATATATATATATATATATATATATATATATATATATATATATATATATATATATATATATATATATCTGTGTATTTACATATAAAACATTACTGTTCTGTTAGCTTAGCAATATTTAGCGCAGAGATGGCCAATGTTTGTTTATCCTGCAGAAAAGCCCCAGCCTCTGAGCGCCGCAGAGAGGGTGATGGGTGTTCTCGGGTGGGTGATCGCACTGGGCATCATCCTCAGTATAGCTGGAACTATATATCTGGTCAACAAACAGAAGCAGCTAAAACAAGCAGGGTCAGACAATGACTCGTAAGTACCGAAAGTCATACGTTTGTTATAATGACTACTCAAAGTGCTGAGATTGTAACACTAAGCCACATGCAATGATCAAGTTGTCCCAGTGGCAAAAATAGATTGGCATTACTTTTTTTTAGTTTTACTTCTTAGGAAATTGAATGTTATAAGGTTTCATTGCTTAATCCTTATTTTGCACATTCTAGACCATAATATTATTGTTATTGATAATCAAGTGTATATACAGTCAAGACCGAAACTATTCATACCCTTGGCAAATAGTGACTTAAAGTTACATAAAGAAATGTTTTTGGGTTTTTTTCTGCAACGATGCCTCTTGTACATCGTCTTATTATCTTTTGAGAGAATATCAAACCTTTCTGGTTGAATAAAGTTATTTACTAACATAATCTATATCCATATAAAACATAAATATGTATTTTTAGACAGTTCTTATAGTTTTATATGAATAAACAAAAGTACATCTAAATAATAATGAATATATATATATATATATATATATATATATATATATATTGAGGAATATGTATTAAGTATTATGTTAATTGCAATATGTTATTTAATTATATTATATTTTTATTATTTTAAGTTTTGAAAGTTACTGTGAGTTTATGAAGTTCAACGTGATTTGATTTACATTGTACTTCTTCATATTGTTAAACTATGCTGAACTTAAGCTTATGATGTACTGTTATTTTTAAATGAAGCTATAATACAGTTACGTAAAGGTTTTATGAAGTTATGATATAGTTATTGTTATATTAAGTTTCCGGCATCTGAAACAACAAAATGAATGTGGCCTGTTAGTTGTTTTACGTAATTGTATTATTACTTGAAACCCTCTTTTTCTCTCTCTATTACTGAAGGAACTGTTCCTCCCCTGGCCACAAAATGGCTTCGTCGTCTAAAAAGAAGACAGCGGATGACTTCCAGGTAAGACAGCACTCAGTGAAGCCACAGAATCACCGCTGACCATTTTATCAGATCAAAAGAAACACTAATGCACTCCGACCTGAATGGGGGAACTGAGGCTTTCATGATCAGCTTCAGCTGCCTTTGGCTTCCGAAATAATGATTAAACAGCGCCTCCTACTGGAGAAGACAACAACCATACAGAACTAGAACATTGAGGAGATCTAGGGGGAGAATTCATTATTTTGTTAAGAATTATGTAGTAATAATTGCTACAAATCCAACTCAATATATATACACTATAGAATTTAGTCACCATAATTTGTCAGTACTATAGTTATAGTATAAATATATTAAATCAAAAAGCCTCAAGAAGCCATGGTTTACAATGAATTTAAATAACAGCTAAGGGCCGTTTTTAGGCACATACAATATAATATGTATTTAAGAAATATTTTGTTGGGAAAAAGAATTTTTGTCTCCAGAGACATTATCAAGGGCCCACGAACTGAAACACTCCCTTTCTTCACTTTCGTCCCGCAACCTCCAACAACATGCCAGCGGCGCCTCTTCATACTAAAAAAGTATATTTGCCAAAATAGATGAAGCTGATAGAAATGCAACGACCTTATTGCCTAAAATTAACTTGAGCTCTGCAGCTAAACTTCATGTCAGCAGAAACTGAACACAGAATTTGTGCAGTTGCAAAGTCTAATGCTTTTAATGTTTTGCAGAGAATATGTAGAAAAAGTGGATGTATGTATGGGTGCGGCCAATGGAGGACTGGAGAAGGATTGACAAGTGACACATTTCACTAAACTCCACCTGTTAATATCAGCTGGCTCTAAAAGTTGAAGTCAGGAAATGAGTTGTGCACCTCCGAAAAGTAACTCTTGCGTTGCATTGAGCATAACATAATTCTGTGAATCGAATTATTCATTTGTATTCAATAAATTACTAATATTTGTGGCATTGAAATCCCTTTCCTGACCTTTTTTGTTGAACACGCATAAAATTGATTAAATATTCCAACAATATGAAAATAAAGTAAAATATATA